ACGAGGTACACTTCAGTTTACACTATGTAACATTACCCTATTGGACAGTTTAAATTTCGGACAGTTTTCCCATCAAATTGACACTTGACTACAATGCAAGTGTCAAACGACGTTTCAAAAATCAGTGTACAGATAGCAAAGTTCAATAGGTAAGAACCTTACTACATGTACACTATGGTGTACACTTTAGTTTACACTTTGCAACGTAAAATTAACTATTGGACAATTTGAATTTCAAACAGTTTTTAATCCAATTGACACTTGACAAGAATGTTAGTGTCAACTAGCTTGCCAAAAATCAGTGTAGAAATAGCAAAGTTATATCGGTAAGAAAATTGCAACATGTACACTATGGTGTACACCTTAGTTTACACTTCGCCACGTGACATTACCCTATTGGACAGTTTAAATTTCAAATAGCTTTCCCATCCAATTGACACTTGACAAAAATGTAAGTTTCAAACAACGTGTCAAAAATCAGTGTACAAATAGCAGAGTTTAATCAATAAGAACATTGCTACATGTACACTATGGTGTACACACTTTTATTTACACTTTACCACGTGACATTACCCTGTTGAACAGCTTAAATTTCAAATAGTTTTCTCATCCAATTCACACTTGACAACAATGCAAGTGTCAAACAATGTATCAAAAATCAGAGTACAAATAGAAAAGTTCAATCGGTAAGAACCTCGCTAAATGTACACTACAGAGTACACACTTTAGTTTACACTTTACCTCGTGACATTACTCTGCTGGAAAGTTTAAATTTCAAATAGTTTTCCCATCCAATTGACACTTGACAAAAATGCAAGTGTCAAACAACGTGTAAAAAATTAGTGTACGAAAAGCAAAGTTCAATCGGTAAGAACCTTGCTATATGTACACTATGGTGTACAAAATAGTTTACACTTTTCCACATGACATTACCCTATTGGACAGTTTGAATTTGAGGCATGTTTCCCATCCAGTTCATACTTGACAACAATGGAAGTGTGAAACAATGGGTCAAAAATCAGTGTACTAATAGCAAAGTTCAATCGGCTAGGACCTTGCTACATGTACACTATGGTGTACACCATAGTAGACTTTACCACTTGACATTACCCTGTTGGACAGTTTAAATTTCAAACAATCTTCCCATCCAATTGACACTTGACTACAATGCAAGTGTCAAACGACATGTCAAAAATCAGTGGACAAATAGCAAAGTTCAATCGATAAGAACCTTGCTATATGTACACTATGGTGTACACTTTAGTTTACACTTTGCCACATGAAATTGCCTTATTGGACAACTTGAATTTCTAACAGTTTTCCCATCCATTTTACACTTGACAACAATGTAAGTGTTAAACAATGTGTTAAAAATCAGTGTGCAAATAGCAAACTTCAATCGGTAAGAACCTTGCTACATGTAAATTGTGGTGTACACTTTAGTTTACACTTTGCCACGTAACATTACCCTGTTGGATGGTTTAAATTTCAAATAGTTTTCCCATCCAATTGACACTTGACAACAATGCAAGTGTCAAACAACGTGTCAAAAATTGGTGTACAAATAGCAAAGTTCAATCGGTAAGGACATTGTTACAAGTACACTATGGTGTACACTTTTGTTTACACTTTGTCACATGACATTACCGTGTTAGACAATTTAAATTTCAAATAGTTTTTCCATCCAATTGACACTTGACAATAATACAAATGTCAAACAATGTAACACTCCGAAAATTTTAGAATAATATATATATATTGAAATATGCTTTAAATTATATTTTTACTTGGGTCAGAAAATTAAATTTTGATAGAGTAAGATTTAGTATATCAATATTGAACTCATTGTGTAGGTTACATTAAATGGTGCACCATGGACTCGAGAAAATTTATTTCGAATGTCTCAAGCCCAAGTTATTGACATTATAAGATTTTTATCATTATTGTTAATTAAATATGTAGGTAGGAGTTGATATTGGCCACCAAGTATGTGTGTTGAGATGGAGATAAACTAACTTTTTATATTATTTGATTAAAATAAGTAATTATGTTGGTAAGATTTGATGGTACAGCCACACGTTTAACAAGTATTATTAAATGCTAATAATTGTTTTATATTTAGTTTGATAAAGATTAACAGTTAATTATAATTCTATTTTAATTAAGATAGTTGTAAATTGTTAATTATGAATTGGATATATATTAAATTATTATCTTATATAAAAGTTGTTAGATGAAGCCTGAGATTTTATATATCCACAGTGGAATCTTATCCTTTTTTTTATGATAAATATTAATTGCTAATTATAATCCTAATTTTTATTACGATAAATGTTAATTGTAAATTTTGATATATCTCACTCCACTTACTGTTATCCAATGTAGAATTTTAGTGCTCCATCTACTAATTTCTAGTCCAGATTCTGTGAGTTAACCATGATGATTAGGATACCTTTAACTAAGCAAAATCTTTATTTAAACTAATCTGGATGTATTAAATAAAATACCAAGAAACATCCTTTTCCTAGCCTCGGCATTTGTGCTTAAGAAGTCTTTTCAACCTCCTGAAAATCTTACAGCATGGAGATAAGATTTTATAATTCATACCAATCCAAATTCTTTTGCTTGAGGGATACGGTACTTCAATCCTAAGTACACTAGGATTTAATCACTATTTGTCCTATATCTATATCTATATATATATATATATATATATACCCCATGAAGTCAAAATTATTCGTCACAGAAAACGAGAAAGAAACAAAAAAAGGGGGGAGTAGAGAGAGAGAAGGAGATCATAAACAGTTTCATAGAAATTTTACGCACAAGACAGAGAGAAAAATACTTTTAGAGAAAGAAAGCAAACTGATTTTTCAATCAAGAAATTCAGTAGTTTGGAACTTGCATTCATATTTCTTTCGATAACAGGTAAGATACATTTATGTGCAAAGTGTTTACGTTTCCTTATGCTCTTATATGCGATTAAATATGCATGGAATGCTAGTGGACCTTCGGGTTCTAGAGAAAGAGATATGAAATTTCTACATGAAAATTAAGAGGACCTAAGATGGGTGTGTCGCTTGGTCACCGATATACTCCATAAGAGAAGAGCGGTATGAAGTGTATTATTTATTTGTTATATACATGTGTATGGAAATTTGCACGTATCTTACTGGGTATTTTTAATACTCACTCTTACATTAATTTTACAGATTAGTTCGGGTCGATTGGAACAGTGGAGAATTGGTGATGCGGACTGCCAAGTGGATAAAGAATAGAGAAAAAGAAATAAGTTTGCCATTTTAAATTTAGCAATTTGTTTATTTTAATTTAGAACGCATTATTTGAATTACTTAGGAGTTTATGTTTATGGTTAGATACGCTTTCAATAATGTTAATTTAAACGTTACAATTATTTGTTTATTGAAGAATTTTATATAGTTCCGCATTTTTATAAATAAAGAAAAAATGAGTTTTCGTAACGTTCCCGTGTTTATGCTTAATGAAAAAAAAAATTGGGGCGTTACAGTATGGTATCAGAGCACGGTTTTACTTTCCTGTAGACTTTTTCAAAAAAAAAAAGGGTTTAAAAATACGTGAACGGTATAGTACAGAAAGTTTTGATTTATAGGGCACTTAAATTTTTCACAGTGAATTGGCCATTCATTTCTTCATTTAGTGCATCTGACACCTTCCAAAGTGTCTCTTTCATTTGTCCTTGTGCAGTCTGTTGCATCCTGCAATGACCATAATTCAAATCATAATAGGTAGAGATATTTTTTTCGGTTTTTCTTTCCTGTAGACTTTTTCAAAAAAAAAAAGGGTTTAAAAATACGTGAACGGTATAGTACAGAAAGTTTTGATTTATAGGGCACTTAAATTTTTCACAGTGAATTGGCCATTCATTTCTTCATTTAGTGCATCTGACACCTTCCAAAGTGTCTCTTTCATTTGTCCTTGTGCAGTCTGTTGCATCCTGCAATGACCATAATTCAAATCATAATAGGTAGAGATATTTTTATATATATATATATATTAGAGCTATGAATCTGAAACAAAAAAGAAACAATACCAAAAAGATGATTTGATATTCAAAGCAAATCTTTAAACCTGTGTGAACATTTATTTGTACGTGTGTGCATGTATATATTATCAATTAGTGTGTGCATGTCTCAGTATGCGTGGGTATGTTATTTAAAAAAAAATCATATTTTAATAAATCTCTTTTTCCCACTTATTGTTTCGAGTTTCTTTGATTTGCGTATTCACAAGATTGAAAGACTTTGTCAAAAAGACCTAAACTGTCTAAGGTGAGCTTGGGATTTAAGCGGTCCGCTTGTGACCCCCCTCCTTGCCTGGAAGTCTTTTCAGTTACGTGTTATTCAAATCATTAAGACGGGAAACAATAATTCTAAGAAAATTCTATTTTAAGATTTTGCAAAATAAAAAAAGAAAAAAAAATTCACGTGAACAGTACTGTTCACGCGAGCAGTACAGCAGTGTTTAAAAAAAAACTATTCACGTGAACAGTGCTGTTCACGCGAACAGTACAACAGTGTTAAAAAAAAAAACTATTCACGTGAACAGTACTGTTCACGCGAACAGTACAGCAGTGTTTAAAAAAAA